AAGCAAAGGATCTCGACGAAAAAATGCCTGAGCATTCCTATGTTTTGCTCTGAGCCGTGCATTTGCTTCAGTGCCCAAAATTTGACCCATCCAGCGGGTTCTACGCTCTTTTAAGGTACAAAACCTACAATGTATTGCCATCATTCACACAATGAGCAGCGGTGAGCACAGTGTTCTGCGTGATAATGACTCCACCACAAATCATCGCTTGTCCATCAGGCAGATTCGGAAAACGCGAGATTACCGACACCAGTGAACGCGTGTCTGAAGTAGGAACTAACAAATAACACAAAAGAAATATACCCTGTTTCCGCGAACCAGATGCTCGTCGAGTGCAGACCATACACCACAAGTGACGACGGCCTCCACAAAATGTAAATGTTTTCTGCCAATGAAATGATTAGCCTGTTGCAGTTGTATTCTATCAGTTGTCACTAATTACAACTATCATTTACCAACTATCAGCTATCACTATGACTCACTAGATTTACTTGGAGGCTGTCGTCACTCGCGGTGTTTGGTCTGCACTCACTGCTATCTGGTTCCCGGGAACGAGGTACGTTCAGATCTAAATCCACTCTTACCGTACTGGTTGGACTGGATTCCATTGAGGATGGAGAGGGTAAAAGCTGGTAGCAGCACAGCGATAAGAAGCTTCGTGAGCATCTTTTCGTGCCGATTCTCGAAAAATTCTCGACATTTTACGGTCGAGATGTTTATGTTGTGTCTGAACTTAATAAAACATCACAATGACAAAGGCGGAAGCAAAAGGGCCAATTTCATAAACACCCCGAAAAGCGTGCACAAAAAATGTAAAATGTGAAAATGCTCGTATTTTTGGAATTGCTAAAATGTCTGCTGTATTTTGACAGGGAGAGTATTCTGCTTAACGTAGAGGTAGTCTAGTAAGAAGTAACGCTGCTAATCACGCGCACGGCCAAAAAAACACATCCAGGCCATTCAAGCCTCCCAACTCTTCGGGGCAGGACCAACCTTCCTTTTGCGATATTTGAAAGATGGGATCGCATTTGCGATCTTGGGGAGGGGGTCGCATTTTGGGGTTTAGCAAGATTAATTACATATTCATGATCATAAAAAATTTCTGGTCACAAAAAGCATGCTTTTTAGATGATATCGTCTAAGGTCTCATGAAATTAACGTGAGTTATAAAAAATGTAGCGATACACCTCCCCTGGCTCGACGGGCGGTTTGGAGGAAACAGGAGGGAAAGATAGTCGCAGCGGGCTATCTATGATCTCGCAGAATCGGCTGCGGAGTAGGAGGCGAAAGGTCGTACTAACAACCCATCGAAATATGATGGTGATACGTATGGGCCAAAATCAAGCGTCACTGAGGAGGGTTAGCGGAAATTTTGTAGAAAAATGCAACGCGACGGTTAATCCCCACCCAGTCCGGTCGACCCTCTTTCCCTCACACCTCTCCCCCTTTTCCGCTCAGTCCAGACGTCTGAAGCCGATAGAATTAGGCAAACTCCATCCCCATTTGAGTACACTCCCCCACACGATGGCACTTAAGTTCCCCTTCGTGCAACTCGATCCCTCCCAGAGTTAGAGTATTTGGTAGGCATACTCGCCCACATTCGCGCGGCCATCCCACTATCCCACAATTTAGCGCCCCTCCTCCAACCCACTCTACCACCTCTATCCTTTCACTCCCGCCCCATGTAGGCCGGGCCTCCGGCCCACTTAGTACGTTGAAAATCCCTGAACAACCAGTTCCCTTCACCATTTTTTTCCCTCGTAAACTATCCAACCCACTATGAACTTTCCATTCGAAGCATTGCTTTTCTAAGGACCCGCCCAACCGGGCAGGTCAACCCTGCGTTGCGCAGTTTCGCCCGATTAGACACGTTCTCTCGCGCGAACATTCACACTCGCATGCTCGAGCCGTCTGTGTCTCCGCCCATACAGCGTGCGTTGAGGATCTCTCCAACGTGCCGTTGCGAACTGCGCAACGCAGGGTTGACTCTGCCACCGGGTCTCTCTAGTCCAATCTGGCTTGCCAATACACACCTTAACACACTTTTTTACCGTCTCGAAGTTTTTTGTCACTGAAATTCGAGTCTTGGTCGTCGGTGCAGCTCATTCTTTGCACGCCACGCCCACTATAGGCGACTTCGACTAGCTGCTCTTTGTTTCGCACTTCGCGCGACGTGCCCAACATTCGCACGGACGTAAACAAACCAGCCCTTTTGGCACTTCGCTGACGTAGCTCTTTGGGAGGGATGGATCCAACCGGCACGAGGACGCCCAAGCCGTCAACTCGTCCTTAGAACCGCCACAATTCGGTGCTTACCTCAGAACTAAGCCTTAAAGAGAGGACGGGTCCGTCCCCTCTCCAAGGCTTAGTCCTGGGGTGAGCAAACCAGCCCTTCTGGCGGAGCTGCTGGACCAGCTGCACCACTTGCGTCAGTACTCTCCTATCGTACCAACCGAGTTGAAGTAAACCGTCGACCGTTGGGGACCCCATCCCCTCCCCAACATTCAGCATACGGTCCCAGCCGAAACGCCAAAAGGGCTGGTTTGCTTACCTCCGCACTCGACCCGGTCTCTCCAGGCGGATCCCCAGGAGCCAGGGAAGTTCATGTAAGACATACAAGACGGACGAGGCGCTTTATAGTAAGTAGGATCCTCCCAGACAAGTTGGTACAATCAGTCGACCCCAGAGTGATGATTTGATTTTGATGCACTCGTTTGTGAAGATTACAGCGATCCTAATTCGGGGGGAGGGGGTATATACAACCAGTGAAACGGCAACTTTTTTCACACGCACCTCTGCCCTGCCTGATGACGACCAAAGCGCGCAATGCGACCCCTCTCCCCTCCCAGAACCCAAATGCGACCCCCCCCCGTTCGAACAGTTCGAACGGACGGTTGACCCTGTTCCCAAGACTGCTTCTCTGAACGCCCCCTTTTTTTTCTTGATAACGGGTTTGCATCAATGTAGAAGCAATTTTGGGAACCCATTCTTGGCACCTCACCCTGTCCCGCGCAGAATACCAGCGCTAACCGGACCACGCTTATCGCCTCTCGCATAAGCAAGAGGACTGCTCCAAAAATTGAGTAACCGTGAACCCCAACGTAAATTTCGTCGTAAAGTATCGGAGACACACACCCCACAAAAACGACGGATGGTGGGCATAATGTTTACATTGCAGAGCTGCTCCGTAGCTACGACGGGCTCATACTATACGAATATGCCTAGCCGGTAGACGAAGGGAGCAGGCGGTGAGCGCGTCAGAACCACCTGTGCTCAGTGGCCACGTTACCCTTTGAACTTCTTTAGGTTCATATCCATTGGTGGACTCTTTACAGGGATGCTATGTAAACCTTATAAACCTTAAGGGTGCTATGTAAACCTTATTGACTTCTCACTTCGGATGGATCGCTTTCATCAGAGCCGTAACAAAGTCAGGTCCTCGAGACCGGTCGGAACCAGAACTTGGACAAGTTGCAATCCATACTGATCTGATTTGATCAGCTGAT